ACACATACACATACACATACGCATACACTCGAGCGAAAGCAACAGAACCGGTATGAAAGATAATTAGTTAAACCACTTTTCATCGATCTATCTAAGTTTTTTATTTTATTTTGGCTCAATTAGTGTATATAAGAAGTAAGATAGAACCGGATAGTGTTCGTGCTTTACTGTTAATGTGAAACTTTTACAAGAATGACACCCAGCTCTGATGATGCCCATCGAATGATGGAAGAAAGCTGAGCAGGTTTTCACCCGAAACGAGGGAGGAGGTCTCGTGGACTGCGTCAACATGAATATCGTATGAAAGCCAAACGGCTGCAGTTCAACTAGATTCATCCGTCCTCATCTCTTCTTCACTCACTTTCATACGAACTGAAAGTCCTCCTAACAATGATATTTCAAGAGATTCATCGAAACCCAGTTTCTCTTTGTATCCACAATGATAGAAGTTGAATTCACCGAATGTGTTTGCTTAATTGTCTCCTGCTGATAACTAAGAATGATGGATGTCCACTTAACTTGAAATCGTATTTGGCATTGCATTGTGAAATGCGGTTCTGACGAAAAGACATTCCAACTAGGCGGAGCCCATGTGAAACTATCCCCTCAACCAAGTTGACCATACTACTCTCATTCGACAGAATGAGCGAAGATGTCCCATGGCTCTACACGCGGTTGGCCTGCCCCTCAAATGGACAATTTGCGATACGCATCTCACTTCCCAAGCATCCATAGCGAAAAATGAGCTCTATCAGAATGCATCCCGTTGCTCGTCTCAGGAGCAATACTGCTCATCATCACCATCTTTTACTTCATTGCACCATGCTTCTCAGAGGAAGGGATGCAACTCGTGCGGCTCAAAGCTTCGGTGCATTTCTTTTGTCACTAGCGGATAGAATGATTATCTTTTCCTGTAACACTGAATGTAGAATGGTTAATCCTCAAAACGACCATCTGATTTTCTTCGGGCCACTTTATGGGATATATTCCAGCTTTGCCAGCTCCCATCCGTCTCATTGTCTCGGTCGAGCCTGCGTGAGCAGACGTTTCTACACTTGCATTCATGGGCTACCAAACATGTGATAGAGCGAGCGGGTGTACGCCTTAATTAGGATCAACCGTAGGTTTTACCATCAGGATGGTGTGGCCTCTGTCTTGGTCGCAGTCTTCTTTGTCCGTCGCCTCGGGATGACTTGATGGGAACGTCCGGGAATGGGCTTAATTAGCATCCCAATGCTGGGGGAAGGTTATAACGAATACGGCAGAGAATGCGGTACGGGCTACTTTGTTCGAAGGATCTCATTGAGAAAAAGTATTTGTATCCTTCTGCAAGTTATCCCTTCGCGTCTCTTTATGCTGAAGCGTTCCGTTCACTGATCCCAGCAGATCTGTCTTGGGATTGGTACTCCAACTAAGCCAGCCTGACGAGATGGCGTTTCTAATGCCATGCATTTGCACCTTGATCGTAACACCATCTCCCGTGCATGTACATAAGCGCAGGACTACACCTAAGCAGCCTGTTGACGTGGCCCTCGGCTGGACTGCCTGCGGAGCCCACAATGAGCCTAGCCGAAATTGGCTCCAAGACAGCGGTCGGAATGGTGTCGAGATGGACTGTTTGTTTATCCTATCTAACTCGGCTGTAATTTATGTGACACGGGAAGAGGCAAATAACAATGTAAACAATTAACAGTTTATGTTCTGTTATCTAGGTTAACACATTTACACGCCTATTGTGGGCTCACACGAGACGCGTCTCGAGTTGGTTTTGACCTCGTTTTCTTAACTTAGTCGTGTCATCGAGGCGACATGTTGCATTGAAATTGGAGAATAGATCATGTTTCATGCTCGATTTCTCTTTATTTTTTACGGATCCTCCCCTTGGCCATTTAGTTCAACAGCCTGAGCAAAAAGCTAATGGATTTACAATCACATGCACAAATTAGTAATTTAATATTTAGAACATATATATATATATATATATATATATGTATATGCATATGTATATGTAATAAAAATTTCCTGTCGGAATAATAATGGCATGTCGCATAAGGTGATGCCTTATACCGCCAGTGAATTCATACAGGCTGTATTTCAGCTCCAAGCTCGCCTGGATCTTGTCAACTCTCCCAATGGGGGAGTATAGCAATACTTTTTTGGGGGCGAGGCTAAGAACGATTCCATGGCATTGTTAGGCCTAAGAATATCCAACTGTCAGCCCTTTATCAGCGTATGCGACCTTGATTGAATACAGTTATTAGAAGATCTATTTGTTTTTTCGCAGCCTATTCTAAATCTGGTTTCCGAATTGTTCAGGTCTCGTACTGCTTTATGCAAGCATAGGAGCATGCTAGGTTACCTATCTTTCCCCCACCCTATCACCAATTTGTCCACGTACTGATCTCTTCTGAACCTAAACAAGTAGTTTGGTCGCTACCATGACCGAATTCATTGAAACTGTCTTTCCGAGGCAGTATGTTATCTGCTGGTTGAGTCATCTTGCCCTCATTCTCAGTCTTCTGCTAGAATGAGGACTTCTTAGTAGATGGTCGTGAGCAAATCTGTGCCTACAGCTGAAGTTCACCTTGCTTTGCGCAACCCACGTTCTATATGCAGAGTGATGCCATGTTCCGTTTTTCTCTCTAGACACACACGGAAATTATCAGGCAAAATTCTGCTTTTTGTGTGCTCAAATGGTAGTAAACTGTCGATATTGTGAAAGCTGTTACTTCCGTCCTACTCACGTCATTTCATCATATGACTGGTCCAAGTAAAAATGTTTGAAGAAACGCCGTTTTTATCCTAGCATTTTCACTATCTCCATAGCCGGGACTCACCTGTAGGGGATCCTTGTGTGATCGAGTCTTCTTCGGTAATGGTATTATATTCGATGATCCGAGAAATCTATGGTCGCTTAATAGGATGAAAGAACTATGGGAAACGCAAGTATCAGTCTTTTCATCACCTTACGTTTTATATGATTTTTTTTGCAAAACGCATTACTCAAATAGGCAAAATTGACTTTACCTATCGTCCGATTGGTTTCTATTTTACTAAGCCTACTAATCAAGAACACTTGTAAACGACAGCTCATCTTCGAAGTTTCATTGACAAGTCATGTACGAGACTGCGCTTTGAACACACTGTTGCATTACCCGCATGAATCTCCCTGACTTTGGCGTTTTCTTCTCGTCCACCAAACTTAGACGATTTTGTATACCTGATTAATAAAGGCCAATTAATATCACTTGAGTCCCGTAGCCCATGAGCAGAAGCTTGTGAAAAATGTAACTTTCCTATTTCACTGCCAACTATCCGTCTCTCCACACTTCGAATCTCAGCTCACTTTTGTCTTTCGCCCCTTTTGCTTAGCGGTCCTGTGTATTCACACTACAGTGCCATTGTTTAAGTCTAGAAGTGTGGCGTCGGACGAGAACAGATGAGTCTAGCACCCTGATGGCCTTATTCCCTGTTCCCTCTGACACATTTGCAGTTTATCTACATACTTATTTGTTAACCTTGTATGGTGGATATGAAGACCAATATATTGTGGCCTCTGTTTGGGTTGCTGTTTCCTTTCGATGTGTAGAAGTGGTCTGACCGCGTTTTCGCAACTTCATCGTGTTGTCAGGGCAACTTTGTTGGACACACCTTGTTCGTAGTTGTCTGCTCTAGTAGTTATCATAATTACCAGCATCGGACCGTGGACTTGGTACATTCCAAGACGTTTCACCGACATCTCAGTCGGCATCGTCAGTGAACCTTGTCATTCTCAGCACTAAGTTACAGTTCGTCAAAGAGACAAGGAAAATTAACTTCGTATGGTAGGCCACTTTTGTCATCCGAAACTCCAGCATTCGACGAGGAGACCATACTTCTAAGAGCCATCTTGCTCTGCGGATGGTGAAAACTCGCAAA